GAACTATAGTTAGTTTACTACTACCTACTTCCTATTTACTATTTTACTACCTTCCACAGAAGAAGAACCGAAAAAAAGGGTGATTATATATCAATATTATTGACTTTTTGTGTTGTGAACGTGTGTGCTATTAAGTCCGTAAAACTTAATTCTTAGTCGAGTGAGTTATCTATTCCTACTTTCCTAATATAAATAAACTTGTGTGAGATTAGTTAAAAATTTGAAAGGTTTCATTTTACTATTAGTAAAGTAATTAATAAAAACATATTGCACAATGCATGGCGTACCTAGGCACAAGTTAGGAATTGCACGAACATTGATGGTCACAGTACACCTGTTTCTTTGTACGTGTCATGTTATTTGTGTTGAGCTCTAGTGTTGACAAAATAGGTTTTCTCTTTCTCTTAGTTTAGAGTCAATTTTATGATTTGCACTTTGCTGTTTTGACATAAAACTGGAGAACGAACTATTATTTGTAATAAGATTGGTTTGGTAAAACTAGTTATGAAACAAGTGAAATAACAAGAATCAAATAGGAAACAAAAACAAGTTATCTACATGAAGGACGAAACTAATATTAAAATTATTTTCAATTTTTCAGCTTCATAAATTAAAGAGTATGTTCAAGGAATTGTTCCAGGTCAGGATTTTGAATGGTAGAGTAAGAGGATAGCAGTGCTATCATACCTTGAAGAATTGTAGGTAGGCAATAGAACACAATGAAGATACACTGAACAGACAATATTTCGTCCCCTGCAGGGAAACACTTGACAAAGTCCCCCAAGGGACTAAAAAGAGAAGAGGTGGAATTAAAGAGTATGTTTAGTATGGCATCGCTGTCTTAAAACTTAATACTTAGAGTAATGAATAAGGGGGGAATTTTAATTATTATTATTAATTTAACATGTACAAATTTCTGTTGCAGATTGAAGCTTACGTTCCTACGAATGAAAAATCCTAGTGTGATATTTTACAACAATGACTACTTTCGTACAACGATGATTCGACTTATGGCCTACTTAGAACATTATTCTACCACTTTGACCTTTTGAAGCTTTAAGTTGTGAAATGTTTAAATGAAATATTACTTTGTAAATAATGTGTTAATGTAATTACACTATGTTGGTTACAACAATTGTAATTTATTTTCCTTTAACTTTAAATGATCAAAGTTCAGAGTAACCATTATAATTGCTTTAAGTTTAAGCAGTGGTGGTTTTGGATATTGCCGCTGATAGGCTAGTTGGAATTTACTACCATTACATTTCACGTTTAGTTAACTATACTGTTTTTACTTAGTCTTACTTAAGTAAAGACTCTTTTGGGCCATAAAAAGTTAAAATATTTTAAATTTAAAAAATACTAAAGACCCAACAAGAATATTTCCTATCCACAGGTTTAGCTAAAAGAAGGTAAGGAGTTTAGGACAAGTATGAATTATTGTCTTAATTTTTTTTACTATGCAGTTAATAGTTCCAACACTATTTGATCTTGAAAAAGTCAGTAGGTTTTTTGGTGGTTGGACTCATCTCGCTCCATTCTATACTTATCATCAATCACTCATATTTGGGTTGAAATATTCAGCTTTTATGTTCCTGCCACGATGTATTGATAATTGAACGCAATGTTGTATCTGAAATATAATAAACAGTAAAATCTTTGTTAGTGTAGCTCGTTAAATAGGTACTTGACCAATTAAAAGAAATTATATAGCCTAATTGTTTCAACTTAAAAGGTACATGCTATAAGTACTGTTCTCAACAGAACATTTTTTTAATCCAAAGGTTTTTTTCTGTTTTACAAACTTTTTAATAGAAAAGATAACCATTTTCAGATTTAGGGCTTTGTTGTGTGATTTGGACAGGTCAACTTCAAATTCAGTTGAATACTAGAATCTAACTACTGGTGTATGAACAGTCATCGTAAAATTATTAGTACTTTGCCTCTTCACAGAATGTTGCAAGCTTATCTTCGGATGAAGAATCCTAGAGTCAGAGTCATCAACGCAGACAATTATCCCAAGGTTGTTTTGAGGGCTTGTACGAACACACTCACTGCGGAGAAGCTTGTTAAGGTATACAAACATTTAGTTAAGGTTTAATCTAAGCTGTAGGAAGAGTCAATGCATCTAGAGTCTTTTATCAACAAATTTGCAAGGTTCAACTGCATATTAGCGTTTGTGAAGTTATTTTTAACTAATATAAATTTTTAATTGAAATAATATTCAACATTCAACCTAAATGAAAATGATTCACGTAGTCAAATTTTTTTTAGTTGTGACTGTTTATTGATTATACGTTTATCAACTATTATTATGTAGTAGAGGAAAGACATGGTTTCTGACACTCATCACTACAAAAAAACGTGTTAATGTTATTTGACTTACACTTATGGTTTTTTTGTTCCAGATTGACACTGGCGCAACAGAAGAAGGCATTCCAAAAGAAACTTTATAAACATAATGGGTTGCTTCAGTTCTCTTTATATAACTGTAAACAAGGTGTGCCTTAACAAAAAAATGCTTTCACATTGATCTTTAATACTCCATATGTTTCAGCTGAATATTCAATTAGGTGAGGTGTTAATGCCTCATAATATCCAGTATAATATTCAGTTAAGTGTACAAAAGAGTTTGCATACAATAATGCAATTAAAGACTTGAATTTCAGTATTTGATGGCAAAAACAGTTTTGTATGTTTGGTTTGTAGAAAATTATTGGTATCAAGGCACCTCTTTTACGCAGTTACAGTACTGTTTTTTGTATAATGTATTGTATTATTGTTACCAAAGTATATTTTGTCACCAACAAAATTGTATGCATTTATGTAATAAAATGACCGTAATGAAATAAAACCAAAAAATGTTCGGATCCAAGATTTTGGACATAAAGAGCACATTATTGTAGCTATTTTTGCCCAATAATCATGAATTGTATGCTTCTGTTTTCACTTCAGTGTATTATTTTCTATCAACTGTCCTTTTTAACTAGGACTAGCTGGCCCGACAGACGTCGTTGTGTCCTAATGTGGTTTTATGTCAAATGCTCGTTCGGATGACTCAGTCATTCTGGTTGATGTTCGTTCGCTACGTTCACTCAACTTTACGCTAACTTTAAAATTGGAACACTCTGTATTTTAAGACAGTTTTATATTGTATAGGCATCACCCAATTGAAATCTGTTTCTTCAGAAACATTCTTTGTTGGATAGAATAATGGGAACAGCCCAAAAAATTAAAGTGAAAGTAAATACCTTTTGCAAGAGCTTGCAAACTGCTTGAAGATGTCAGAAAGTTTGTATCGAAGTCAATCCCAAAGAGCTTTGCTCTGCTCAACACGGCTATAACATTTCACTGACAATCCTATTTTTTAAGTTCATTTTTTAAACTTGGCTATTAGTAGAAACAAACAAACAAAAAATTTATGAGAACAAGGAGGATCAATCATAAAAAATGTTAGATTTCTTATAATATATTTATTTACATTCGATCAAATAAACAACATTGTTAATTCGCCTTGTATTTTAAGCTTTGATAACAAATCACTTTTCATTTACTATATTGCCTTTCACTATATTCAACAGACACTGTATTACAAATGAGTAATAGAAATACAAAAATACAGTGAAGCGCAAACCTAGAACTTGGGGTACTGTATTGCGCATTGTAGTTCAAAAAAGATATTTGCACTATAAACCATTGAACTTGCAACTGATTAAAGTAAATTGCATATTGGAATGTAAATGTATTACATTTATTATCTAATATTTTTTGTAGAACCTTGACCAACTTTAAGATGACGTACACATTTTTTACTGACTTTATAGAAGTTTATGAGTTTAATTATATTTGATGGTTAAACTGAAAAGATACCCCCGTCGCAGCAAACCTACCAACTAAGCGAATTTCCATTTGTCTGAATTGATTTTCAATTAAATATATTTCAATAACATTAGGTTTAACGAGTAACTAGGTTTGCTGCTATAAGGAAATTGATAAAGTGTGTTTTGTTGCAAAATATTAATAGCTTAGTATAAAATAAAGAAATTTGCCAAGTTTGATCAAAATACATCCATAAACAAGCAAACTACAACAACTTACAATATTCTCCTTAAGAATAATATGGGAATTTTAAATTTACAATTTTTTTAATTTTCTCCATTACCAATAACTGTACAAAAATACTTTTATATACTAAATTATTTGTTTTTTTACGCTCTTAAAAAAGGTCTAAAGAGAAATAGGGAAATTTTGTGTTTTGAGGGTCAAAAGTGAGAAAAACCAATTTTTACCCCATAAAACTGATAAAACCCCCCGTAAAGCCCCGTTCCCATGGTCCGATCATGCTGGTTCACGAACTCATTCAAGTTTATCCCGCTTTACACCTTTAAACCTAATTTCATCAAAATCGGACAAAAATTACTCATGTTATCATCGCGTTCACGGACATATATAAATCTACTAGCTGGCCCGACAGACGTCGTCCTGTCCTATTGTGGTTTTATGTCCCATGCTCGTTCATTTTCAAGATGAGCTCGTTCGCATGGCTCAATCACGTCCTGGTTGAAGTTCGTTCGCTACGCTCACTCACCTTTAGGTTGGAGTATATAAAATATGGAGGTTGGTAATATATAAAAATTTTAACGAATGGTGTTTTTGGCCTCTGGGGACATCAAAATGAAAAAGTAAATCGATCCCGGGCCTAGGTCTTACCATACCACCTACGGTAATAGAAAACTGAAAGCTGAAAAAGATCCGTTTTAAGGGCTATGAAAACTTTTTATCCCAACTGAATTGTCATTATGGCTTTAGAAGAGAGTTTGCTTTGCAAATAAAAAAAGTTCACTTCAGATTACTTTTTTTTATTTCTAAACGAGTTGACTTGCAGCTTCAGGTGGGTTTTGAACCACTAGATTGGAATTATCATAGCAAAAAGCTGTTGGTTCTAGTCGGATTTTGATTCTGCCATGTTAGATCATTCCCTCTTTTTAATTGTTTATTTGTGTAATAAAATAAATATAATACGATTAAAATGTAACAAATATTGCATAATATAACAAATATACAGAATGTGAATAGTAAAAATCTACAAACAAAACACTCTTAATACTTTTTACATTGCATTACCCCTAGAGAGATTTCAGAACTGCTTTCTAACCTCTCTCACAAATAATGTCTACCACGCTTGGCTCCATCAGTACAGGGTCTAAACATCGGTGAACAGCACTGCTGAGAATCTCATCAAGTAGGAACTGAATAAGGCTGCAACAGAATCATTCATTATATTACTATTCTCCGAGGATTCAGGTTCAAATCCTGGCAATCACTTAGGGATTTTATCTAAGTGCTAATGCCAAAACTTTATAAGCCTAGCTTGAAGTAATGTATAAAACTATTATAGCTATTACCCCATAACCTCACAAGGGGAAAAAAATAAAACAATCCAGGTTAGAGCCCACGTCCTAGGATATGAAGGTGAGACACGTAAAATTGTAAAAAAACTTACTTCTCGTCCGCCACGTATCTCCAAAGATAGAGCTGCAAGTAGTGAGAATCCACTTGGATCTGTTGAAGACCATACTTGGAAAATGTCTTGAGACGAATACACTCTAGTAGAGTCTGTAAATATAAGATAGCAAAATGGGTTTCAGCATAATAATTTTAATAGCTTTTCCAAAAAACATTATAAGTGATCTTATAGTTTAAAAATAAGATCTCTATTTCTAAATGTCTTAATTGTGTCCACTGTCTGCACATCCAATTAGCTACTATTAAAAATTTGTATTGAACAATGCTTATAAGAATCTGCACAATCGAATAAATTTAATTTACAAATTGAATGTAAATATAGATAAGGTTGGTTAGGACAAGAAATGGTCCAGGGAAAATTAGTTAATTCGGCTACAATAGCAACAGTTGTAATATCTCATAATTTCTTTCTCTATTGCGCAAACACAAGGAATAATGTTTTCTTACTAAAATCAGTCAGTGGACCATGTAGATAATCTTTCAAGTAGAGATCACAAAAACATTTTCTCAGACAAAAATAAAAATATCGTAGCATTATTCCATGATTAAGCTTAACAGAAACAAACTGCCAATGTCGCTAAGTTAAGATGGTGAGTTTTATGTTTTATTTTTCTATCTATGAACACCATTCTCTATTACCTTTAGGCTGATTTTGATCACCCCAGTTAAAATAGAAACTTTGTTAAACTGAACAGGGGCAAAGATCTCGATCCGCTCGGAAAACAGCTTGTGTATATGGCTGGCTGCTAGAGAGTGACTCGACCAGTTACTGGCTGTGCTGCGATGAAGACGAGAGTGAGTCTTGTGTGATGAGTCGGAGCTGCGCTCTGTGTGCGATCCCTCCTCAAACAACATGCCTACCTGTGGATACACAGTTTATTTTTATTAAGTCCTTCACATCATAGGACCCGAAGGTTTAGTCCAGAATCGTCTTACACATTAAGGGCCTAGAGAAATGCGCCACCCTTACATAGCAAATGGTGGAGTTTTAACCCGGGTCCTGTAGGATTGAAGCCCTGCGATTAACCGGACCAGCTCACTCCACAGGATAACAACATAGTAGTCTTCATGGATTGGCTTCCACAGAAAAACTGTAGATTTGTGATCTTCGAGCAACAACATTGTTGAAATAGACGAAACACTCATTGATGTTTCTGCCTCAAGAGTGCCATATTCAGGGTTGATTCCCACTAAAGACCAAGTATTGAAGTGAATCAAGCCTGAAATTTTAGTGAATAGAAGTACAATAAATTTTACACAGTAAAAACCAACATTTTTTTACACAGTCTTCGTCAGGTGAATGCTTATATATAGTCTAAAAGTTCTGTTTTAATAATAAAGAAAATTGACTAGAATTTTAATATCTAACTGTGTTGGCCAGGCAGTAGATGGAGCAAGGTAATTAATCAATAGTCACATTCAGGCTTCAGCGTACATTTAATCTGTCCTGTCACTTGTGTAATTCAGCGGCAGAATTGACTAACACATTGCACTGAGGAGTGTTGATTCCTAAAGTTAACCGGTGGGTGGGCCCACCTTAAATAAAAGGTGTCTGGCTTAGGTGGAAGTTGACGGCGTTAGTAGGTTTTACAGGGATTACACACAACGCCTGTTTTGCTTCCTTACACTATCCTAGAGGAGTAGACAGGTTTTTTGGCTTTATTTTGGTCAAATATATGGACTTGTCATGTTGACATTATGAAATTGATATAACCTATAACAAACATTAAAAAAAAAATAATACCAAATTCAAACGTTAAAGAGTAAACCTATTATAGTAACACATATGATGATTATCTCGCTTTGTTTGCGACCCACCTGGGAGTCGATGGTCGCCATTTCCTCCATGATCCTTTTCATGACGGCTCGTACTGTACGAGGCTCTAGACTGTGCAGCCAATCTCTAGTCTCCACTGACTTACGCAACATCTGTCAACAAATTGTTACCTTACAACAGTGTACTTAACAAATATACTGATTGGCATAAATATTTAGGAATAAAGTGAAGCTTAGCAAATAGGATGGTAGTTTATTAGGAGGCTATCATAACATTTTAGGTTTTCAGACTACAAGAACCTAAAACAAAGGAGATAATATCATGATATGAGAACTTAAGCTGACTTTTAGACAACATACAGTATGTATGGCATAGGTATACTTATTACAAAACACCGAGTAGCAATAATTTAGAAATAAAACTATTAGTTCACTTTCTACTAGGTCTACATACTGACTTGGATTATTTGAGGGTCTTTGAATATCCTCTATCACAAGAACACATTTAAAGGACAATCAAGGGACAACTAATTTTATGTCTTGAAATTTAACACGTTTGCTGCAGCCCATCAATGGCGGGGGTATCCCCGGTGCGGCACAGTGTTAAACAAACCCGATTGCTGGGCGATTGGCTTTCAAATTTTGGTCTGATAAATGGTATATAACGTGTGGTGATGTACTGCATTACGACAAGAGTAGACAAAGTTCGCTAAAAAACCCACAGATAGCAGCCCTGTTTGGAACGTAGCCGGTCCCATTGTATTGCCAACTGGAGGGAGAAAGACGGGATAAAAAGTTGATATCCAAGCTTGCCAAACGGGGGATTTTACAGAGAAATGTACTACCAACACCACAATAAAAAGCATGTCACACACTAAACGCTATCGTGGTATAGGTCCGCCTTCCGGTGTTGGTGAGTTGCGGCTCAGACTGAAAAAGGTTTTGTACGAGTTGCAGCCCAAGTATAAACAGGTTAATTGCGGCCAAGGGTTCTGTTTATCATTGACAAGTAAAAAGTTCTCACCAGTGTTAGTTTTGATTTCCATATAACAAGGCCCTATACTTGCCTTGGACACTATACAAGTCTGTTCTTTAGCACTTTTTGGCGACTTGGGGTGAACAGACAAACGAGCTCGGTGAATGTTATGCCTAACGAGACTCACATCATTACTAATCATACTTGGAATATCTTCTTTTGCCAATTCAGAACGGTATCGTCACATCGGTCATGATTGTGGTCAGTCTGTTTTTCAATTATTTCATTGGTAACGCTTAGCTTTACGACTTACACTTTTTATTACAGAATTGGCCATCCCTGAACATCGTTCTTCAATGTTTTGTGAAATCGAGACTTGAATCCCTCATAAACTACGAGCAGCTTTGTCTTCTCACTAATAATAAACTCATTAAGAATAGATTTAGAACATTCACCAAGCACAGCAGTGGAGGAACTGACAGAAATATACATTCATGTAGGTTGTACACCTGTTTATACTTGGGCCGCAACTCACCTGTCTCTCTTGGAGAGATTAGTGTCCAGGCCGCAACTCACCTTTAACCCCGCCTTCGACAGACGCTAGGCACACACTGAGCAACAGATTGATGAACTGCAGTGTGGGTTTTGGGTCAGTACTGACTCGGCCACGTGAGGGTTGTGATCGCCGTGGGTCCACCCACCCGCAAGGAACGTTTTAAGAAGATCCTAATCCCTTAGTAAACCCACCTTGACTCATTTTTTGTAATCAAACACCATCCTACATATATCATATAGCTCATTGACTCCTTGTGTGTTTGCCTTACCTGTGATATAGCCAGGCCCTGCATGTGTACATAGTGGTTGAGTAGCTCCTGTGCTGCTTGTCTCGTCCCAGCACACATCTCTTTACCTGAGGTCAGCAGAGCGGAGCCTCCATCAGTGCTGAACCACTCATCTGTCAGACTCAGCTGTAACAAACATTTATCATCACGTGTGATATAGCCAGACCCTGCATGTGTACGTAGTGGTTCAGTAGCTCCTGTGCTGCTTGTCTCGTCCCAGCACACATCTCTTTACCTGAGGTCAGCAGAGCCGAGCCTGGAGGTCAGTGCTGAACCACTCATCTGTCAGACTCCGCTGTAACAAACATTGGAGACTACATCTCCATAAATATCCAGTCTGGAAAATCTCTCAGTCCTACCAACTCTTAGTATTGTTATAACACAGAAAATAGTCCAGTGAACTTACGAGGTAATGAATGTTGGTGGCTTCAAACTCCAGACATGTTTTGGACAAGATGAGTAGTAGCGGGAGTGAAGGTACACTTGCTGAGCAGAATGACCGAGCAGTGGCTGTGAGGTGATGTATGAAACCCACCACAAGTCCTTCTCTCACAGAGTCTATGCAGAAAGCTTCCAGGAACTTGGGTTTGGCAGCAAACGCCAAGTCAGGCTGAATAAACACCTGGAAAAAATCACTGTGCAGAAATTGTCTATATATTCTGTGCAAATATCATTGATTATGGACACTACTATATTTTCTACAATCAGTAGTGATATTATTTTTCTACTATTATGTATTAATCGAGTATTATTACTGTTGTATCTGATTTTCTAAAGCTATAGCTTCAACTTCAAAGAAATTACTTTTTCCTACCGTAGTAAAATCAAGATTTTTTCAGTAACTTCTGTGGTCCCCAAAAAGATTCGAAGTTTTAGTTACTTCCTTGATCTCTTAGTAAAATCGGTAACTTCTATCACCCTATTGTGTGAGCGGTGACTTATTTAACCCTGTAAGGCGGGATTTTTTTTAAACACCTGCAATACCCTGTTACAGTTTTTCTACTCCCCGAATCCCATCACACCATCCCTCGTTTCATCGTTTGCTGATCAGCAAGTGTTGGTGCTAGCAATTAGGAACTAATGGACAATGTGCTGTATACAGTCCTAGTTTCAAATAGGTAGTTCACTGATTAGTGATTTGACGTCAGATGCTGATGCTACCACCTACTGCGATGTAACATGACGAGCAAATCTTACTAAAACGTAGCAGTGTCTTTTTACACGAGGAAGGATCGCCTAACTGCCATGAAGCGTTACAGTTAGTACGCCACCAGTTAAGTGATCAGTATACACCTTGATATCCTCACTTACTTATCTTACAGAAAGCTAGACCAGAACCTCAACTTACCAACAGGTCCTGCAAGACTCCCTTGACCTTCTCCACAGTGGCGAGTACCAACTGGGTGACCAGTTCTGTTCCGTTCTGTGTCACCGCTTCCGTCACCACCAGTCTCGGAGCGGCCAATGCTTGTCTCACATGTGACAGACTGTCTGTCAGCTGTGACTTGAGCGCGTGGAGATGCATCCGACATTGTCTTCGTGCAGCTCGCATTACTAGCTCCATTCCCGCACTGCAACAATAATTGTTTGAAATCCACAAGCGATAGTTATTTGGACTATCACCCAACCTAACGTAAAAACTATAACCCAACCTAAAAAACCTTGCTCTAAACAGGATTTGAACATGAAAAAAATGGTGGTAGTATATTAACGGAAAAGGTCTCTTAAAGTTTAATACTCGCAGAATGTCACTTCTTAATTTTTTGAGTGGCAATGACAATAACATGAAATATTTTTTAGTGATTTTAAAAGTCTGCTGTATGTTTTGATATGAAATGTGGTCTGTTCTCCATGATAAAATGAAAATATATTGGAGACATAAATAAGAATTTCTGCAAGGACAAATTACTTCAAGAAAAATTACGAGAAAAAGTAACCAAAAAGTTTTCCATGCTGTTCTTTTTAGGTCTTGCAGTGGATGTCATTTCTATTTGTCAACATCAGATCCACCACTTGCTGGACAGACACATTACCTCAACCTTGCTTTAGCCATCATATTGTGTAGACTAGTCCATTTGATAGGTTTGGATAACCTCTATTTGTACTGTTTGTTGTTTTCTTTCAGGTTTTTTCCATCTGGTTTGACCACTAGAGATTTTTCTGTGGTTTTTTTATATTTTTTTGTGATTATCAAGCTTTGGTATTGTGATTTAATTTTGTAATGATTCAAGTACTTCCTCAGCTAAAGATGGGATAAGCAAATTCCAGCTAGAGCCTTCCATAAGGAGACTTTTACTCATCAAGAGCAAATTATAAATAGTATTACAATAAAAAACAAGACTACTTAGATGAGCAAGTTAATATTAAATAAATTACCCAGGACTGAAAGATTTTTGTTAGAAAGCCCAGCAGGAAGAAGACCTTTGAGAACAGGGTCGATTGACAAGAACATGAGGTAAATGGAAGGAGAGTAGGAAATGAAGACTGACAGAGATAGTAATCTATATTTAACTTATTAAATCCTTCTATTCAAGTGGTGTAAACTGTATATGGACTCCTGCAAATGTATATTCGAGTTTGTCAACATTTAGCAATAACAAATAAGGAACCAGTCTCACTTGACAAAGTCGTCGTCGTCGAAGAGTGAGTTTACAGCTGTCAGTCTACGGTAGAACCTATCCAACGCCCGGACTAAGATGGCAGAATCTCCTCCATCTTGTTGACTCTCTATATGACTTTGTACCAGGTCCAGGTATTGGTGCATGTTGTCAAAAACAAACTGGCTCAACTTGCCACCAGCTTCAGTGTCACTGCAATTAAAACTCTAGTTATACTTGACTTTCACTGCAACTGTAGTTACACTTTGTAAATTATGACTCAAATAAAGCTAGTAATATAGCCTACCAAGATTGCAGTAGGTTGAAGGGTGCCCACAGGATATTTTTCTGGGAGCAACTTAAATGTAAATTTTCTTTTCCATTATAAGGTTGGCAGCTTCTTTTAACAACATCTAAGTTACCCATCTATGTATGAGGGGATAGGCCAGTACAGTACGAGAGTAAGTTTTACTCATAAATTTTAAAAGGTGGCAGCTAGACGCAAACCCAAAAAATAGCTGACTTGGTTTTGCTACAATGCTACTAACTAAGCTGCCAACTCAAAACCACCAAAAATACTTCAAAGTCACCTTAAGTCAGATTTGTCACAATCATTGGATTCTAAAAAAAATCTCAAAAAATGAATCTAAGAAAAATGAATAAAGATGATTTTGATTTGATTTGATTAAAATCATTAGGCTACAAAACAACAAAATCAAGTGATAAAATTACTTTATTTTCTATGGGTTGGCAAAACTATAATTTTGTGATACCTGACTTTCTCCGATTTAATAATCAAATAAATTTTATAAAAATACTAAACAATATTATAAAATTGTATGTTTGTTGATAGTGGTACTAGGTAATACTAAACAGAGATATTACCAACACGCAGGCCGGTTGATGAACATGTCATTGTAGGAGGTGACTACAAAACACAGATCACTCAGAAAACCATTGCTACCCAGGTCAATGAACTCGATAAGGTCCTGGAAAAACATTAAATATAGATACAATAACCTTTTGAGCCTAGTTGATTCTTACAAATCTAGGATCAAATTACTAAAAAACATTGTTATGAAATGTAATACAATACCGGTACTTCATTCTTAACCCATAAGATAAGAAACGTCAACTTATTAAAGTACAAAGCCTTATTTATTACTATTTCTTGATTGGTAATAATCAAGAAATAGTAAGCTAATAGTAAGAAATAGTAAGAAATAGAGGCTGCCCAACCCAACCTAACCTTGGATGAAAAGCAAGCCTTGCGAGATCTGAAGAACAATAAAGACATTGTGATTCTACCAGCCGACAAAGGTTCCACAACCGTAGTCATGAACAAGACAGATTATGTTGCAGAAATCGATCGTCAACTTTCAGACTCTACAACCTATCAACTGTTGAATGAAAACCCTACAGAACACTATAACTCGGAACTTCAAGACCTCATCAAACGGAATGCCTCTCTGAACCAGCTAACCCCAGAAACGGTCAGACTGCTAACGCCAGAAAACCCATCCACCCCAAAATTATATATTCTCCCCAAAATACACAAAGATACCTTCCCACCACCAGGTAGACCAATTGTCTCAGGATGCGGTTCTCCCACAGAAAGAATTTCGGCTTATGTGGACACCTATCTCCAGCCTATAGTACAAAATCTCCCATCATATATCAAAGACACAACAGACTTCCTTCTTAGACTTTCTTCAGTTACAAACAAGCTCACACCTAACTCCATCCTAGCTACAATAGATGTTACATCCCTGTATACCAATATCCCCCACGCCCACGGACTTGCTGCAGTTGAACATTACCTTGACAAAAGAACTAAAGGTGAACTCCCTAAGACTTCCTTTATCATCAGCCTCACCAAATTCATCCTTGAAAAGAATAATTTTCAATTCCTGGACCGCCACTACTTGCAGATAAAAGGGACTGCCATGGGTACCAGGATGGCCCCCTCATACGCCAACTTGTTTATGGGAAAACTTGAAAATGACTTTCTGCAAAAACAGACTCTACAACCAACTTGTTGGTTCAGATACATAGACGACATCTTTGTAATTTGGCCCCATGGAGAAAATAGCCTCAACCATTTTTTAAATAGCCTAAACACTTTCTCAACATTGAAATTCACTTGGGAATTATCTGAAACTGCGGTTCACTTTCTTGACGTCATGGTGGAACTGAAAAATGGCTCAATCTCCACATCTGTCTACACCAAACCCACCAACCACCAACAGTACCTACACTACAACAGCTGCCATCCCAACAACACCAAACGCTCCCTACCCTACAGTCTTGCCTTAAGAGGGAAACGAATAAACTCCGACAAGAAGAATCTGATAACTTACAACAAACAACTCCAAACTGCTTTTGAAAATAGAGGATACCCGACACAAACAGTCTCTTCGCAAATAAAAGCGGCCCAAAATGCTACTGACAATCCACCTAAGAAAACCAAAACCACCTACGATGTCAACCTGGTGACTACTTACCACCCAGGTCTCAACAGGCTCAATAACCTTTTGAGAACCGGCTACAACATGCTTCGAAGCTCCACCCAGACCAAAGATCTCTTCCAAAAACCCCCCACCATAGTCTACAGACAACCTGCCAATCTAAAAACCATCCTTGTCCATCCCAAGTTACCCGACCCGTCCGTTGAACCACCTCCAAGACTGCCCCCAGGTTCCTACCCATGCAATGAAACCAAATGCAAGACCTGTGGCATCAACATTCCTGCAGAAACCTTCACCAGCACATCGTACAACAAAGAGTACAAAATAAAAGACCACATAACATGCAATAGCGAAAACCTGATCTACCAACTACAATGCAAACTCTGTCAAGCTCAATATATAGGCCTAACCACCCAAACTCTTAGGAAAAGGATGAATGGACATAGACAGGATGTTAAAACAAACAAATACAAACCCATTGCATTACATGCAGCAAACCACAACTTGGACTTTGATACATGTTTCACCACAAAAGCCATAAAATCCCTCCCCAAAGACCAATGTAACAGCTCCCTACTCAGAAGGTGGGAACTAGCCTACCAATACATCACTGATTCCAGAAACCCTCCTAACCTTAACATCAGATAATTCACCCAACCATTCCCTCAGCTAGCTTCATTTTTATAAAAATCAACCACCATATGTATATATAGAAGTATATGTGTATATAGATGTACATAACAACAGTAATTTTAAACAACAGTTGGCAACACTATTGTGGAACTTTTGAATTTGAACTGTAACTGCCAGTTTTCTTTCTTCTCCCTTCTGATGAAGTCCCTAACTGGGACGAAATATTAAGTTTTTCTGTGTTGTGTCATGTGTTTTATGTGTAATCAAGGCTAATCTGGACTCTATCTACCAGGTAAGCTAGCTGATCCCTATCCTTGTACATAATAATCCTAATCAGCCAATTGGCCTTTCCTTAACTCCTAACCTATTTCTTGATTGGACATCAATTTCAGTGCTCTATTTACAACAACAAAAAAAGTTATAAATGCACGCAAGTTACTAAACTTGACACTCTAAAACAAGCCTCAGACTTTGCGTTATTTTACTAGATGAACAGTGGTCATTCACAAAACTTGTTTAACAATCCTGAAATGATTATTGTTGTTGGTTGTGAGGATCTTTAACAGGTTATTTGGTAGAGAAAGGGATTTCATACGATTAAAAATAAATGCACATGTGTTTTCTGCTTGTCAGAGACGACCATTCACTGATGCAATAATTGTGTAGTATGATACATTGTATTTTTCAATCCTCTGTTGAAATATTATACATTAAATTTGATCATTATGAAGTACAGTAGAATACGGGCAAGACGTTCAAACTATTTCTAGCAGTGTAACGTAATAGCCTGTTACCCATGTATGATTCAAAGTAAAAACTCAAGCTTAAGCGGTTATTACCTGATGCACTCATCCTATTTTTACTATGTGTAGGCCTATGTTTAAAAATAAAAAGCTAAGCTTATCCTATAAGATAAAGATAGTACACACCTGACATGGAGTATCTTTCAGCAACGTCAGCTGATCCTGAAGTCTCGTCTTTGCATGTGTCAAAAACTCTGAACACAAAGATTCCGCTGGTTCATCCAACTGAAGCAAAAGGTCAACACTTTCGGCCAGTTCCTTGGCAGTGGCCTGTACATTATAAAAGTTTATTTCTGTTGAATAGGCTAACAAATGTTATGGAAGGACGGCTTATTTTCAACTAGCCAATAGAATCTTTTATGTCCCATTAACTATCTCAGCAACAAAAACTAAGGAAGGAATATAATTTTTACAGCAGAACACTCTAGGTGAGTGGCTCGTTCAATTATATTATTTTTTAGTGATAAAAAATTAACTACAATTGATCCATATATGTATATACTATTTTGATAAGTCAAGGCTACAAGGTGCTACTTCAATAAAGATATAATTTCCCTTGTATGCTCTAACCTATCAATAAACTGAAATGGTCTTTGGCCAAAAGATTAACAATTAATGGAATTTAATTCCAAACCTCTATGACAAAAGTCCCTTACTCTTTACTAAACCAAGAATATTCTTTTAACTTCCTTCTGGATTGCTGCATTCTTTTAACTTAAGTTCATCATTGAACATAGAACAACTCCTCACTAAGTACGTTAATTACTGTTCTGCTTACGTCTTTGCTCTTGAACTGTGATCGGAGTCGCTCTTTCAGTTGGTCCAGGATATCATTGCATTCCCTTTGTATGCCTTGGAAACTCTCCAAATTCCCATACTGTTCCAGTACTCGCTGTGTGTGTAAGTAGTCTTGAACTGCCTGAGAAAGATTCAAAGAAATTATTTATTTACATATTTATAATTTTATAAATATCCAATATCAAATACAAAACATTGTTGGGCCAAAACTGTAAAATTGTTCAAACTTACAGCATCTAAAAAATGGAAAATACCCATGAATTAAATCATTTTGGCTAAATAGTTTAATATTAAGTGTAAAACATCAAAAATGTATTAAAATGCAAATAAATCTCAATTTTTTTCACCTTAAAACTAAAATTAAAATACAATACCTCTGCATAATTTTCTTCCTCCATTAATGCTTTTAGTTTTGTTGGCAATTTAAAAAGGAATTGTAGACGTTTGAGAAGAGAATGAATCCCAGACAAACGAGCTATTTGTTGTCTAGAATCCTGAAACAGGAAAAATGTATTGTAACAAGTGCATTTGACTAAAAGGTTTAAGCATGAAATATATTTATTTAATTACTCATTTTGCCAAACTCAAAGTTTTACAACTTCTATAAGATACTGTTTCCTCTAGATAGGACGAAACCTTTTTAGACTGATCAGTCATCGATCAGACCTAACTGTCAACTTCACCAACAAGAATGGATTTAACTTTTTTCTAAGAGGTTGGCAGACTCTCAATCAGCTTCCTGCATTCTGCAATGCTAGTAAAGACACCCTTCACCTTAATATTCAAGATTTGTCTGGACTCATTATACAATGTAGGCCTATACCAAATGCCATCTTCAGTATTTTTTTATTGAGCGCTAGTCTCATCTTAAGCAAACGTTTTATTTTGTTACGCATGACATCTGATGAATCAAACATTAGAATTAAACTAAAATGAGTTTCATAAAACTATTTTCACATTGTGATTTTTTTTAGGCTACAATCTAATGGTGGACACTAAATTAATTTTATCATCAGAAAACCATATAGAGTACCTGCAATGTTGAAGAGATCAACTCGGAAAACGATGTGATCGAGTCCATATTCTTTGCTAACAAGTCCATTTCATCCTCCATTTTCTTGAAATCTGTTTTCATCTAAAAAATGGCATTACATTTCTGAATTGAAAATAAATAATGCATTTGAGATATTAGAAAAATTAAGTCATCTCCAGTACAATTTTAAAGTTATGTACTTTAGTTAACTTAGTAGATCCAATTCACAACAGGTTTATTTTCGCTTTTAGAGGAGTGTAAGTCAAACATTTGTTCTGCACTTAAGTAGCAGCACTTTTTCCTCTGTTAGGGGATTTTAAGTTTGTTTTGTGGCTGCAGTGGCGACCAATTAGAAAAAGATCAAATTTGCCAATAAAGAAATATTGTGGTATGTTCACAACTTGCTCATATTTAGTTACCAAATTAGGCCTTTTATTTCTCAGAAGCCACGTCAATTAAGCACATATAAATATTTACTTACCTTCCTGACTGTGTCAGTGGCTGAAATAAACTTGTTGTAATTTTCATACACCAGAGTCTGCATATCGGAGTGAAGGGTAAGAGTGTCTTTGACAACGTCTGTCTCATGATCCATTATCTGCTGAAGATTGTACTCCTGAAAATTTAAAAGGCTTTGTAGTATCAACTAAGTTAAATATTTATTATTAATGTTGCTGGGTTCGTTGATTGATTGGATGTGCTGGGGCAGACTGTGTCTCTAGGCTTATAGGCCATATTGTGGTCTTCTGGGCAGAACTTTGATCCTACAACTCCATCTTTACAAATCAAAATAAATTGGTTATGATTTTAGCAAGATTTGAGGTTGGACTGTAGTTGATTGTTTTGTTGATTGATATAAAATTATAATGGGATGCGGAATACTACCCCAGAAAACTACTCCCCCCCCCCCACGTAAAATGTGACGTTACAAAATCTGCCAACTAACCAATATGGTAGCCGTGTCCGCGACTGGAATACTACCCCCCTAGCAAAATGTGATGCTATGTAATCGTAATTTTAATTCGAGTAATTCAGTTTGATAACAGAAATGGCATGTGGGCAATATCATACAGTATGTTAAAATGTTACAGCAAGTTTGGTTGGTTAGGTTAGGTTAGTTTAGAACAGTATGGCAACGACAAATTAAAAATAGTAAAGGACCTAATATCGATCGAACCTTGTGGGACACCACATTTAACTTCGTGCCAATTTGAGATAAACTTTTTGCCATTTTTTATAATTGACGTTCTTTGTTTCCTGTTAGTTAAATAAGAATCAATCCAAGACAAAGCCATGCCAGAATATGAATAATATCGAAGTTTGCTCATTAAAACATCATAGTCTACACAATCAAATGCCTTGGGTAGATCACAGAACACCACCTATAATATAATACCTATAAGATATACTCGTTATACTTTATTTCTCGTGCCTATTGTGTCTTGATATTTTATCATGTTGCTGGGTTTGGTTAGTATTTTTAACTTTTACCCTTTAACTATTTTATTTTATAGCCTAGCCCAAAGTCAATGCCTATACTAGGTATTCTAATGTCTGAACAAATATATAAAATATGGTTATTAAGAGTAGAGTAGTCACAAGTTGGAGGAAGGTCAAAATATGGTCAAATCACTCGCTTTCCAATCAATCCAAACCAACACATTTACCTTGAATCGTGACTGACTCCGAGATTCACGAGGTGCGGGTTATTGTCAGCATTGATTTGCTCATTATGGAAATTAAAGACTCCATCTCTCATACACGAACATTCATCAGTATCAGTCCATAAAATTGTTTTCAGGAAATCCCTGCCGGATCCACTGACAAAACTGAAGCCTCTGAGGTGGATCTCTCAGCTCGAGTTTCTGGACACGCGTGAAATGAAATGGGTGCAACCCCTGTTTTGTAATAGTTTTGACACAAAGGTTTGCGAGACCCTGAACTGACGGGCTAATGTCCTCGTACTTATCCTCAGATCTTCACTCACCCGTTCCAAGACAGCCTCTTCCAATCCAACATCTTGCATAAAGCTGCCACCTAAGCGGCCGTTGGGGGGAAACCTTCCATTTTCACGCAAACACTGGTGGACCCGAATAAATGTTTTTCGATCAGGAATCCGCCTGTATGGAATGAATGCGTTGAATGTACTCACAAACACTTTCAGATGCATTTCCAGAACAAAAACCATAAACATAATGCATATGAGCATATTCTGAACTTGTGAAAGGATCCGTGGTACTTATTTAGGACCCAGACCCCAGCTTAAACGTTCTAAAATAACTTTTAAACTATTCTAGGACATCAATACTACAACTTTATTTAAGAATTTTTTGGCGCTGAGACCTCCTTTTATTTTTAATTAAATATTTAAACAATAATCCCAACTCACTAGTGGGCCGGTGGGAATTCGGGGTTTTGGGTGGGGGAGATATAACGTGGTTAATTATGGGGAGAAAAGGGTAATTCAACGGGTAAAAGGGTAATTTATAGGTAATTACCCAGCAAGAACGGGAAATTAGTCTGTATAAACGGGTACTTTCCTTTGCCGCCGACGACGACGAACGACGAGCAACGAGCACAGCTGGCAGTGACAGGAAGAAGACCATCAGAATTTTATTGTACCATAAATAAAAACAATAACAAAGTGAAAATAAAGTTGTTTGTTTATTTTATCCTATATATTTAGTTAAAAATGGCTTAAAAAATATTTAAACAGGTCAATAAAAAGTGGTGTAACATCTATCCCCTGTGTGAATAGCCTATCCTTAAGAATCCTCTAAAAACGTGAAGTTAAGTATTCAGTCTTCTTTTGTTTGAATATTTATAGTTTTATTTATTCAAGTTCTTAAAAAACGTACACCGATCGTGAGTGCATTTTTACATTCAAAACACCAATAAAATATAAAATATATAAACATATCATAAAAAGCGTTTTAATCTGATGTGGAAACCAAATAAACAATAATTAATTATTGTACTACTATGTTATTTACTATAGGCTACCGGTAACTGATTTTGACTTGTTTACAGATCATAACAATTGAATCAGCTGATTTGAACGAGTACAATTAACTGATTTCATAACACGAGACATGTGTAAATCAGTGAGATTATTTTTATGGGTTTGTTACCTTGCTAAAACCAAATCAGTAAACCGTGTTTTATTTTAGTTTGGTGGTGGTTTTTCTGTAATTTCTACATACAACAATTTAAAATAATATATCAATTTAAAGCTTATTAAATGAAGAAGTTTTTTATCTCGTTGGACATAACGTGGCACCAGAATAAAAAGGGTACAAACGCTTTAAACTTAACCTAAATAATTAATAAGACCACATTTTAAATTTCAATTCGGCTAGGAACCGATGCATGAAATGAAATAGGCCTATTGTTTATGTAACCTTCTTGGTTTGATGATAAATTTAATGCCCTTTTATTGGATTATTTTTAATATCAATCACCAGATTAATTGGTTTTTATTTTTATAAATACTAGTGAGACAAAGTCCAATCTTTTTTAGAAAACGCAAATTTCTCGAATACAAAAAAACGGTTCGGAATCAGACTAGGTTTTTTTGCATCTATTTTGTTCCTTTTGATCATTATAATCCACTGGCGAAGTTAAGGACGTCAGTAGAAACTCACCCTGTATAAGAGTGCTTATCTGGGAATAGTATGACCGAAACAGATGATAGTAGTAGATGTGTTTCTTGCAGAAGGGGCATTAGGCTATTCATGAAAAGTATGAGTGCTTCGGATCGGTCCCAAAATATTTGTTTGGTCTAAATATAAACATAATTAGCCTGTCTCTATTATCACCTTTATTATTCTGAATTTCTAAAGGAGAAATCAAGTCATTTGTATGCTAAAGTTTACCATATCTGAGGAAAACCTTAAAAAGTTAACAATCTCATAGCCTACCTTTAAAAGTTTTTGCATGTATATGTCTGGATTAAACTGTTGGCCATCTAAATCGTATGGATTTCCCTCACTTTTAACTTTTGAATCGTGGCCTTTATCAGCCATCTTTAGCTTACTTTTAAAATAAATAAAAGTTGGATAATATGTACAAACTACAAATCTAGAATTAAGGTTATATTTATAAGCGGAAAGGTGGTATGAAATGAAATGTCAGTGTCAACATCAGCTGTAGGTCGGTTCCACGCTAGACAAAATTATATTTTCTTAAACATGGATTGGATAGTACTTAAGGAGACCAAAGGCAACTCTCATGACATTAGTCATTGATTATATATATTCTATATTATATTCTATTAATACTGCACCACCTCTGAAAAATTGCACCTGTTGATAAACTCAATAATTATTGTATTTTTCTTGTTTTCAATTTAGACCCTATTACAAACATTTTACAAAGAGGGCAACATTGAGTCTAAGGTGATGCATTAAGTCGTTGCCAGAATGATATATAAAACAGAATCATTTTAAAACAGAATGAAATGTCTATTTTTCTATAAAGAAAATTGTGGTGCATAGTCAATGGTGCTATAAACTCAAATATTTCACATCAAAATAAACAAACGAAAATTACACTTTTAGTCTGCGTCAGTGAGTGTCGATTGCTGATTGTCAAGGCTGTGGCTTCGTCTTTTACCTTCTCAATCTATCGTCTGCTTTTCTTACTGAATCTGTCAACACTCAACAGTGTCAACTGGACTGGATGGTAGTAGCAGTAGCAGGTAGCGGTGTTAAAATAAATCAGTTTTGTGCAGATGCAGATTGTTGTTGTGATATTTACTGTAATGAGCCAGATATATCTGATTCATTTGGATTAAATAAATGAATATAATATTTCTTAACAAGTAGACCTAATAATTTTACACGATTTCGTTCTTACGCTATTTTTTCTTTAGTAAAGAGATGACTGAATATAAGTTAGTTGTTGTGGGTGCTGGAGGTGTAGGCAAAAGTGCATTGACTATCCAGTTAATTCAAAACCATTTTGTTGACGAGTATGACCCAACGATAGAAGATTCTTACAGAAAACAAGTTGTTATTGATGGCGAGACTTGTTTGTTAGATATTCTTGACACTGCAGGTCAAGAAGAATACAGTGCAATGAGGGATCAGTACATGAGGACTGGTGAAGGATTTCTGCTTGTGTTTGCTGTTAACAGTATAAAATCGTTTGAAGATATTAGTACTTACAGAGAACAGATTAAAAGAGTTAAGGATGCAGAAGAAGTTCCCATGGTTCTTGTCGGAAACAAGTGTGACTTGTCCAGTTGGGCAGTGTCTATGAATGAAGCTCGTGATGTTGCTAAGCAGTACAATATTCCTCTTGTAGAAACATCGGCGAAGACAAGAATGGGTGTTGATGATGCATTTTATACACTTGTTCGAGAAATCAGAAGGTACAAGGAGCAACAAGGTAAGGAAAAACACAAGAAGTTAAAAGGAGGGAATCAAAGGTCCAAGAAGTTTTGTTCTTTACTTTAGGCCCCTATGTAGCGTGTAGGTCTATGTAAAGTAAACGTGTAAAAGCCCAAACACATTTTCATGTTCTGTATGAAAGCGTCTTTGTGCTTAACAAAACTAAATCATTTTTAAATACCTATTTTAAGTAACTTATAACCTCGTAAGAATGCAAGTTTACAGGCTAGGGCTTAGTCTCAAAATTGTTGTACGACTTTGGCCCACAAGTAATGTATTCTACTTATTTTTCTCAAATAATTCAGGTAGCCTAGCCAAATTTAGAAAACATGGAAAGCTAAAAAGTAATATAGTCTGAATTTTCAATCTATCTAGGCTAGTAAGTGAATTAAAATGTAAGATACTGTAGCCTTCTTTAACACAAGGCCGGGGCATTTGTGTGTGCAACGTCGCAAAGTCATGCCTATTGTCACGGTAGTAACAGAAATAACAAAAGTCTAAACAGAAACATTTCCTAGGCCTATACTGTTCATTATAAATTAGTGCAACAGCTGTTTCGATTTGACGTGACAGCGGTGTTGCCACTTTTGAAGATCAAGATACCCGGATGGTTTACATAAGGTTACTATCTTGTTCTTGTTGTGAATACAGCATTTATTCTATATTCTGAATTAGTTTCACACAGTCTTTCACTTATCTAAGTAGGAATATTATCATCTTACTTGTCAAAAATCTAATCATGGGAAAATGTCTGTGACTTAAAAAGGTTAAGTATTAATGACACTAACATTTGACTAAAATAAGGTAGGTACTGTACGGTAATTGGAAAATCTTAAACAAGATGTAAGTCATTTTCATTCCGGTGCTGAAACATGTTGATGCTGTCCAATAACTTTGTTAGACTTAAACTTGTATAACTCTAACAATTGACACAAACTTGTAGGCTATCTTTTTCAATGTTTGTTGGGGATCAGAGGTTGTACTTTTATTGACTAAGCTTATTTATTGGTTTTCTTGGTTTTATTGAATTTCCCATAAAGGGACTAAGCTATAAGTCAACCGTAGGTCTCATGGTAAGACCTGAACCCGGGAAGGATTTACTGTTTCGTTTTGAGGCCCCCAGAGACCAAAAACACCACCCATTTATATTAATATTCATATACTCGTATAACTCCAAACAGATTACTAGTACTGTAATGTATTTCTTCTTAAATGGTGTGACAAAATTTCATAATACCTATATAAAATATATTACCAACTACATAGCCTAAGGCTAGGTACAAGATTTCAACATTTTTGACAAGGCCACTTACCACATTACATTAGTACACTAAATTTAGAATCTTTGAATACTGTATTTATATTTTACTAGGGGTTTTGATTGCTGGAGTAGGCCTACAGTTCAAACTAAAAGATGAAATGTTATTAGAAACGCTCAACTGTGGTGCCAAAGACATATAGCTTATTTTTAATTTAGTTTTATACAGTAGCCTAATAGTGTAATTATAACCTTGCAATGTTTGATATAGCCTACAGTAGAGTTGTTATATTTTATTTCGTTTTAAGAAGACTTTTCAACATGGTTTCTGTCCTTTCGATTTTTATGATCCATCTCGTGACATTGCACTTGTAAATTAATAATCGTTGATACAACTAGGCTAGATGTATCTTCAGAATAGTCAATGATGTACAAATAATTAAAAAGTTTAATGTAATGTAAGCTCTATTTAAGATACACAAAAAGAGGTTACCACTATGATTTTTTGTTGCCAAAGCTGTAATATTTCCTTCTGTAAATATGAGAATTTGTAATTTATCACTGTTAAGAATTTGAAAACTTGTAGACAGTTACTTGTTAACAGGCTAATACTACTGTTGTTCACTTTTAATTTTTCTGTATCAAGGGCAAAGTATTGACATTGACTATTGAATACCGTACTAAAGTAGACATCCCATTGAACAGCTGTTGCCAATTTTTCATTAAAAAAGAACATAGTTATGCGAGCCAGTCACAGAATGTGCTAGGATCTAAAATTCCATTTTCCACCTTATTTATTGTTGCTGACCAAGTTGATGGGTCATAACAGTTGCCATAGCTCACCATAAGTTAATCCATTAGTTTGACTTTGTTAAAAAGTCAGTGTATTCGACAGAATTTAGTGCGTAATCTATCAACGGCTCACATCAACTATGACAATTTTGATTTAAAAAACTGGCGACAACTTTAACATGAGAATGGGATGTCAAAGGTATTGTGCGGTTTTAGCTTTACTTTTTTTAATCTCGAAAATAGAAAGTGTAGACTTTAGATAGAGCTGGATTTAAAATAAATGATACCGGTATGCAACTTTTTCTTATAAGACTCTTTATAGCTTTGCTAATGTGTTAATTGATTTTAGTTTGCAATCGATAAAAGTCTTTAAATAGATTGGCCTAATCGTCATTTGTTTACTTTTAACTAATATATAAGCAATACATAAAATTTGTATTTGTAGATTAGTATTTGTGCTGCAATCATTTAGGAAAAAAAAAACGATAGTTTGTCAATAAATTCAATGATTTTTCACCATAAAATAATAATTTCATAATAACCATAATAATAACCATAATAATAATTTCATCTGGCTCTGTAACTTCATGTTGTTGACCAAGTTGTGTCTTTCAGCCCTAGGGCCGAAATACCTGTTAATTTATTTAGTCATGAAACATTCTCTAAAATTTGTATGCATTACTTTGATTTAAGCTAGCAGTTCTGCAACATATGTTTCACGCAAAAGCATCCAGCAATCCAAAGAACGCCACCGTAGTTTTCTTTTTGTTCAAAAAATTTGGATATTTTCAACAGTTTTTCAGAGCTTACCACAATAAGCTGTGCATCTGTTTAAAGTACCTTTTTAACAACACATTAAAACTGCATTTAGCAACAAAATATTTGTCAGCATCACTGTTTCAAACGTTTAGTTACAAACATGTAAACGGGGCTTGCTATTTTCAATTGCAGATTAGTAAGCTGTTTAAATTTTATACCAGCAACAACAATAATGAAGTTGAATTATTGATATTTTAATTTAAATACACATTAGGAGTTACATTTGTATGCAATCTTGGACTAAAGACAGTAGGGTTACCACCATAAAAAAAATGATTATAGAATATTTTGGTAATGGGTAACTGGAATTATTTAAGATCATGTTTTTATAGTTTGTGGTTTTGAAGATTGGAGTGTACTTTGGTGAAACAGTTTATTTCAAACCAAGAGCCAGAAGTGAGGTTATGCAGGCTTGAGATTATGTTAAAAATGTAACAAACAAATTGAAAAGATAGAGCTTGCAAAATACTATCCCATGCAAGATTCTCCCCACACTAAAAATTGAACAAAATTTAAAAAGTATGTATTTAACATAAACTATGGCTAATTATACAATTTTATCAATCCTGCATCAATCACCATTGGTAAGCAACATCAATAAAATAATTAAGTTGCAACAATGCAGCAGGATAGGCTAATTAGTAATCTGGTGGAGGCCAGTTTGATGTTAAGTAAATAAATGGTATCAGCAATCTGACACATCCTTTTTCCCATTAGCTTGTCTGTCAACAACCCTTATCATGGGTTAGCAATGGTTAGTCCAATAGCCATGACTAGGTATCCTAACCATTTTATGTGGGAAATCACAAAGGTTGCAATAAGTTTTTAACAGTATAAGTTTCACATCAATTTTAGAAATATAAGGACCTTAACATAAAAAATTTAAGTTAAAATCGGTTAAGCGGTTTTTTATCCGTATTTTCTGTTTATTTTATGGAAAAATAACATAAATTTTTTAAACAGTAATTTTACCGTGTTGCGTCACACAGACATCACTCTGAAACCACTTTTTTTGGGTTCGGGGGACCCACAACGGATATATCTACCCAAAACTCAACTCAAAAATCTTTACAAAAACCATTTGTTCTCCATGTATACTATGTATAGGGGGATAAAGTAAAAATTGTACTTTGTCTGTTAAAAACTGTGTTCAGCTGCTTTTTATCATTGGGATTTTAATACACTATCCTGGCTGAAGTATCCGTTGGTTGTGTCCGGCTGGTAAAACTGTATATGATTCATTGTAAACTGTATATGATTCATTGTCACTCGTCCTGTACTTTCTTTGTTTCAAAATACACATAGCAATGAGTCAGCATTGTTGTTTCATACGAGATAGGAACTGATAGGCTGACTGTGTATTTAATTTGAATATGAGTAAAAGATGAGTGTAGAATGAAGTCAATGTCTTTTATAGCTTTGTTATCACAATGCCAACAACGTGTTGACAAGTTATGGTTTTAATTTCATAAACTAACGCTGATTTTTACTACATAAGAGCTTAAAAAAAAACTTCTTTTGGTCTTTAGTTTTGATGACCCGAAAACATTGTAACGATGAAAAATAGTACAGTTATTTGCACTCTGGAAGAAAACCTTTAGCAAGTTTTCCATCTCTTGCTTGTAAATTCTCATTTTTAGTTATTGGTGAGGTTTAAGTCCAAAAATAAAATGTTTTTCAAGTAGTCACTTTTATATTCTTAAATGTGTTTTAAGTGATTAACTATCAAAGTTATTTTAGCTATAACAAGTACGCTGTCAATAGGCATTATCTTTATATTTTAAGAGATGAGTGTATTTGCAGTAAGTTAAATTTAGCTAAATGTTCCGTGTTTTTGTAATTGTTTATTTATATAGGTTGATATAAGTAAGAGATAAAATTGCTACTCTACATTTTTTTAAATCTTGTATTTAAGTAAAAGATGTAAGTAATGAAGTGTACAGCTTTATAAAAATCCTGTCAGCGTTTATAAAAATAAACCCCTTTTACTTTTGGAAAGTGCTGATCAAGGTAAACACATATTACACCATTATTTTCAGGGATACTATAACGAATTTAATAGAAATATTTTAAAGTAACATGGTTGAAATATTTCTTTAGTGTTGACTATTTTACCAACTAGCACAAATTGTAAGCATACATTTTCTGTGTTTTAACAAGGTACACAGGATATCAAATTTATTGTACTTTATTTCTGACCATTCTATGTACAAATTGCCCAACTCATAGTGTTAGATGTTCTGTTTGATTTTAACAGCAATGTAATTAGATTAGTAAAAAATATTTACATTACAATGTGGCTTATTCATGTAATACCTTAGTCACAAATATCTAAAAACCCATTTAAATGATTTGGACTTTAAACTTTGTGGATTTGACTATGGTTCACATAATAAGTAGGTATCCCTGATGTTGAAACCAGTTTTAGAATGAAAACGAACCTTGTTACATCTATCTGATCGAGTGAAATGTTGTAAAATATAATTTTCTTTTCTACAAACCAACTTTTTTACTACCGGTATGTTAAACAGAAAAGGTAACTAGCATAAACTAGATGCAACTAACTTTCATGTCTGCTCCAACTATCAGTACGACAAACTTATAATGAGAAAATTGAACTCCAATAGTAGCTCACCATATGAGAAACTCTTTCAAATGATACAAAACTGACTTTATGGGCCTACAGTGTTGGTCCTATTATATGATATTGATAGGTCTATTTCAGAATCCAAAGTTCAAAAAGTAAGACCTTTTGTTCCCACTCAGGTACATTTAACAATGGTTTAACACACTCACTCCCGGAGGAGGTGTGTGACGGCCGGTACTAAACCTGTTAACAGACTCACTCCCGTATGTATCGAGACTCTACATACAGAGCAGTGTGTTCGTAGGCAGCGCCACCAGCGTTGCTATGCAGTACCCCAGTATCCACTGTACCAAGACAATTATTCTGCACTGGGTAAAAAAATTCCTTTTCATCCCAAGTGAACTATCATGTTAAACCTTTGCTATAGTAATTTAACCAATAAGGGTAAGTGTTTTTTTGGAAAGCAGTATAAAAAAGAAAACCAGGTCAACGGGGGGGTTTTTTGTGTCAATCGTGTCCCCACTAATACACTGCTGCCAGACGTTTCGTCCCTACTGTGAAGAGGTGGTTGATGACCTAAAACTCCACAATGAACACTAATGACGGCTGCCGCAAAAGCTTACGTAAGAAGAAAACCAAGTGTCATACAGAAAATATAGCTGCATCATGTGCATGGTCAAAAAATCCTGATTTCAGCAGAGACATTCTGCATTAGGAAACACTGACGACCACCTAATAAACAATGGACAGCTGAGGTGCATGTTGACAGTATGGGAGAATGTATTGTGATTTGCACATTATTTCAGAAATCTTTTCAGATGGATTTTTTCTCAAAAATTAGATTTTCCATAATTTTGTTGGTAAATAACATAAGTTACAAGAACCGTTATTTATATTTTCTCAGAAATGGGAGCTGTACCATTTTGTTCAGAATTTAAAGGACTATTGCATTCTAATTGTTCATTAAAACTATTCAGGCTATTTTTGAAAAAATTGAATTTTTCTGTTATTTTATGTGAAATCACCAATAAAAATAAAAATTTCAGAAAAAGGAATAAAAAGCTTGGAGATGCTATGGATTAGTATTTAGTACCTACGTACCAAATTTAATAAAAATCGGACCACAGATGTGGTCTGTAGCTCTGTACACATACACATATACAGACAGACATCACTTTGAAAACCTCTTTTTTGTGTCCAGTGGGACCTAAAACGGAGATCCACTCAAAACTCACTCGAAAATTTTAACGAAAACAATACTTTCTCCATATACTATGGTATAGCGGGAGAAAGTAAAAATCATAGTTTTTCTAACAGGTTGGTTAACTGTGGTGGCCAGATATAAAGGACTCTTCAGTAGGCCTACTTTGTGTCTACCAAAAACAATTTGTTTGATTTTGTTGATGAGTGGAAACATGATCAAAAACAAAAAGGCATATTAAACTAATTGAATATTTCAATGTTTAAGTTTTTGGGTGGATAGAACAAAGGCATTAAAGACTAAAAAACCTTATGAAACCTTAGGACAATCACAATTTCAAAAAGGAAAACACAAACACTAGTAGTTTGTTTCATAATAAATTATTTATTCATTGCTTGTTCACAATATAAACAAACTGAAACAACTACTTAGGAACCAATAAGAAAATAAACAATTACCTGTGAAATTCGCAAAGCCTAAGTTGGCACAACGTAAAACCCAACACATTTATTTGCTTAACTAAACATTTAGGACTGATTTTACTTAAAATTTTGAGAATCCCCTGAAAATACACAGAAATAACACCAGAATTATAAAGGAAAGCATACAATATCAAATCATTTTTTTATGAAGTAGCAATGGGTTCACATCCAATATACAGTTTCTTTGACATAGGTAAATTAATATACATTTTTAGGTGGTGGGGGGGGGCACAGAAAATATGTTATCATATTTTAAATACTGTATACAGTATTGAGAATTTCCGTTTTTTTTTATTCATTAGAATTTCCCTTATTCATCTCATTCTTAATGCGCAGAAGGCAGCCTCCCACTAATCGCCCCTGATTTTGAACTAAATCTTATGTAAAATTAATTCAAGCCAACATTTATTTTAGAATCATTTTGTTTTTATGTGGAATGTTTGTAGTGATTTCGTAAGGAATACAATGGGTCGAGTTTTACCAAATTAAATTATCATTCTGAGACATAGAAATACCAAGACCAAAATTCAAAGTAATTATACTGTTTGGTTCTGTGACAATCGGAACACAAATGGGTCTAACCAGGAGATCTTTACTGTCCAGTCCGTTGAAGGAACAAAAGAATAATGTACTTTGGCTTCTTACTAGAGCTAAAGAATAGATGTAATTTTAAGTTTCAACAATTAATTTGCAATGAACCAACTGCTAATAAATTCTAATAACTCAAATTTATTTTATTAACTCTAAAAAACACTTTACCAGGACAGTACAACCCCGCTAATCCGTCACCTACGAGACTGGAACCTGGGTCGGTGAAAAGATGGGATTATCTTAAAAAAAGCATGTTCAGGATTAATCCGCGATTGCGGTTGAGGATTATGATGTTTCCATTACCGCAGGTATGAGTTTGTCATGTTTGCAGATAATAAGGATTAAGTTTCCGTTATTGCGGAGACGAAGATGATGTTCCAGCGAGTTTAGAAAATGTTCAGTATTTTGAAGAGATCGCGAAGACAATTGACCACAAGATTGTTATGTGATCATGGAAGACGATGATAATGTTTCTATTATTGCAAAGGGTATCTTAGATTTTGTCGCGATAGGGGGGATGACGATAATGTTTCCTTGGTCACGGAAGATGCTGATGATGTTACTGCTAAATATATTCAAGGGTTTGCCCCAATCACGGGAAACGATAATGATGTTTCCATGACCGCGGAGGACAAACAAGATTTTTGCCCCGATTTCAGGAGACAGTGATGATGTTTAAACAACAATAGAAAATGATCACAATATTACCGTGATAACATCATCATGGGCGATGGCACCGTCGCATTGGCCAGGAGTCGGACTATCCAAGATAAAATTAGCGGGGTTCTATCGTAATAATACCAATACACCAAAAATGTCTTGAATTCTTATTTAAAAACACAAACACACTAATAGAAACTGGAGGTAATATCATATTTTGTCATGAAGTCAATTTTTACATAAATCATTCTTAATGAAAACAAGTACAAAATAATGAATACTTTCTGATTGGAAGACAAATATTTTTTTTTCAAGCTGCATATGAAGCAAATAATTTGAAATTTGAACAAATGTAAAAAATATAATTCATTAATCAACACAAATTTATTCCTTAAGTACAAAAAATTATCTTATACATAAATTATGTACAACAAATGACAGAAAATAAAGCTAACTCTAATGAAGTTTACAATATGGCACATATTGAAAATATAAAATTCTTTACAACTGGACATTTTGCAAGGATTTTGTGACAATAAATGTAACACAAATAAAGATAAGTGCCAACTCGAGTAAAGAGCAAATAAAAGTTACTGAACACAATATTAATATTAACAATATTCACAACCATTTGAAGTCAATAATAATGAGACTCATCCCAATGAATTGAAAGAAGTTAAAAGTTCCTAAATATCAAGATTCAATCTTTTCAGTTGTTTTGTTATTGTTAAAATTTATTCCACAAGCAAGTCTTGACATTTCACAGTAAGAGTTAATAAAATAAAAAAAATAAAACCACAACTTTTCAAAAGAAAATGATTTATTGGATAATTCTTTTTAATCCTTTTGGTATTCGGATTTAATTTGGGAAGAAAAGATTATACAACTGACTCACGGAATAAAATTACAGACAGCAGACAGACACAAAGAATCATTAGATAAACTTAATATTGAACTTTTTCCTAAAGCTTATTACTGACTGGGAAAGAATGTAATATGTTTCTAAACCACTAACTGTAAAACTAACAGTTGGTTGTGCCCTAACATTAAATCTGGGTATAAAATAGCTTTTAAGTGCCTTCCAAAGTGATATTGATAATAATACTGAATATAATTTCTACCAAAATTTTTCTTAAAAAAATTTAGAATAACATTTTTCTTTAAAATTTTTTTTTCAATCCCCCTTTCATCCTCAACAAATGGTTTGTGTTCTTACTTATATCCGTAATATTGCTGTGATTTTATCTCAGTTTTAACTTCCTGTATTCTAAATTGTGTAACAGTATGAATGACTAATTTTTCCAAGTGAACAAGCTTATTGAACTTTGAACTTCTTTCTAGTCTTCCTACCAAGTTAATGATATTCATATTGATTTGTACTTTTATAAAGATCAGAATTCAATAAAGGAAATTGGAGGTTCTAGATCTGAAAAACACTAAGACAATAGTTTACTTCAGATAAATACTATTAGAACTCCAAAAATAAATTGGAAAAGCAAAAAAAGTTACAACTAAAACTATGCTATTTTAGAAACACTATTCAGAAAGTAATTTTTACAAAAATAAATACATTACCTCACTAATTTAGAATGACTAGATTATTAACTCTTAATGAGTTTCCCATCATTTCTGTACATCTATTCCATCCTGGTTGCTAGTTCATTCCAATCCCAAATTGGACCACTAAGAAATAACGTCTTGGACAAAAACTCTTTTTAGTACTTCTGGAAAATTTAAATTCATGAAAAGAAAAATTATTAATTATTAGTGTTGTCAACAAAACAAGTATCCCTCTTACTAGATTATGGTTGACTCCAATCCTAAATAGCAAAAATCTAAAAGTAACATTTTATGTAAGATTATAGTGGTAAAAATACCGACTAATAATTATCCTAACAGAACTCAATGTAAGTCATTGCAAAAACTAAGTATTTAGGTATGTTTTCATGTCAAACAACAAACACTACGTAAAACTACAAGAGACATTTACAAACCTCAGTTCAGCTTAGGACCATCCGACTGATTAGTGTTTCCAAGATTGCATTTTCACTCGATCGTCTACCTTGTCAACAAACAATGCCATTCGAACGTCAACATCAAAGAAATTTTACATCAATAATAAAACCGAGAAGGTACGATACGTCTATGAAGTATGTGATTTCTAAGGAATTTGTGCTGTATAAAAAGAGAGAAGTGCAGATGGCCGGCCTAGCCGCAACCACCGTTGTAACGCTTGGTGCGCAGCGCACGTGGCGATATACCCATCTTGAGGGAGCGCATGGCCATCGCGCGGTTGAAGTGTCGGTGGGCCTTCACCTCGGCAAACTCCGAGTCGAGGTTGGAATCACACGACGACACCACCGTTATCAACACGCCCAGCACCTGTAATTAAATAAAATTGCAATTAAATTTGACTTAATGCAGATAAATTTTGGACAAAGATTAGTAAAGGAGGGTTGAATGAAAGAAATGAATGAAGAAAACTCTTTTAACCGACTTCCCATTACCAACAAAAGGAGGAGGTTCCCAATTTGTTTGTGGCAATGTCTTTATTTCTATGGATATTCACCAATTTCTCTGCGATTCTTTTACCGATCAGCATGGTTCCACCACCAAAATAACTAGGAGAGTTTCCCTTTGGTTCCATATATAACATTATTTTTAAGTGTAATATTTGTTTTGGTGAAAAATGCTAAAAACCTCAAACAGGCCTATTCAACATTTTTTTTTTATATTTGTGCAGATAAGCCCTATTACAGGGTGTTTTTTTTTAAACTTGCTTCTTTATTTACAGTAGACTCCCTCTTATCCAGACATTGGTTTAACCGGAATACACTCGGCGGAAATGACATCTCTTTAACCAGACTAGATCGGCAGGAAGTGGGCGGTACTGAAACGACCGTTCTCGTGGGAAAGATTTGAGACCAGTGATCACGTGTGCTCCGTTAAATTTAAGTCAAATAAGCATTTAAACAGTCTATTTTTGGGGACATCGGTTTAACTGGAAAACCCGTAATCCGGACTGGCCTCAGTCCCGAGGAGTCCGGATAAGAGGGAGTCTACTGTATGTAAAAACTGCAATAGATAGAAATGTGACATAGTGGCCACAATTGTTGTGAATTTAATGTGAAGTCTCATACACCCCCTACCCTTAACTTAATTTTTTTTTAATTGCAAGGTACCCCTTTTGACATATTATGACATATATGTGAGGGCATGAAAAAAGAAAAAGAATGGTGCAAACTAGAGATCTCTACGTCAATCATATCAAAAGTTATGGCACATCAAAAGAAAAACACATTTTTTTTAAACGGCTGTTTCTCGAAAACATTAAGAACTAGCAAAGATTTGAAAACATTTTCATGGTCAGGAATTAAATTTTCTACAAAACACTCTTAAGCGTTTTCCAGAAATCTCACTTCTTCACCTTCAAAAATCGCCCTACTTCTAAAACTTGTAAAGTTTCTCGGATTTTTTACTGTTTTTTTATTGAACAAGCATGCCAGCTAGTCACATCTTGGAAAAATGCTAGGATATAGGCTCTAACTTTAAACAGCATTACTTCATTCTAGAAGCCTATCACTTCGATAAAATCCATTGGTGATTGGCGGGATTTGAACCCAAAACAATTTCAGTTACTCACCAGGAAGATGATGATGAGGACAGTGTAGATGTGTATGTTGTTGTCAGGAAGAGCTTCCATGTCTCGCAGTGTTGCCAGTGCGGGCTCAAACTCCGGCCGCAGCTCCAAGCAGTGACGCAGATGCAGCGTGGCCTCCTGGTAGTGTCCATAAGCCTGCAACACACAAACCAGAGTTTGAAAATGGGAAATGCAGTTGCCTTGCAATAGTAGAGGAACGTTCCTTAGCTTTGTCGTAATACGTAAAATAATACTACTATTTTTGTCACCTACTACTTCTTCGTCCATTATGTTTTAGCTGGTCCCTGTTAATTGGAAGACACGAGTGTTATTTCACCTGCTATCCAGCAGTTCAAATGACGCCAAAGGTCACAAAAGACCAACAGATGGAGCAGGCTTATCCAACTAAAACTAGCAAGCGAAGTTCAGTTGGCCATATTGCGGTAGGATAGAAGAGCAAATTGTTGTTGGTAATAGTGCAAAAACTTATTTCTCTATTTCCAAGACAGTGTATGTACAGCGTTATATCAAAATAAAATTCAAGGACAATTAGAGGTTTCCCAGGTTCAAAATTTTATCTTTTCATGGCAAAACTGGAACATGATATTTGTTTGCAATAGTTACCCGCGATCACGATTTTCATCTAGGCTACACAAAACAACAAAAATCATAGATTTCGGTCTGATTTTTGTGATTATTGGAATATTCAAGTTTCTGTTCCCGTTTTATTTTACAAAAATCACGCTGAATTCACAGAATTTTCCTGCTCATCAAAACTCACGGATAATTCCCGGTTTTTGAGGTTGGCTGGACACCCACCCGGAAAGGACTCAGCATACAGCCTACTTAGAGTAAAAGGTACGGTATTTGTTTGAAATTTTGTAAGATTTAAGTTAAATAATTCTTTGTCACTATTAGTTCTAATTGAAAGGTTAAACTAATATTTTCTATTTTAAATAAATTTGGTAGGTACTTTTAATGAGTTTTGAAATATGACATGAAAAGTTTGTTGGCCATTTTTCTTTATTTTTTTTTTTTTTTGTCTGGTAAGTTAAAAACGGTAGATTTTGTAGGCTAGCTGAAGAATGTAAGGTTCCAAGTCATATTTTTAAACTTTTAGCTGATGTAGTTTGGCTTATACAAGAAGGGTTTCCCGTTACTTTTATTCTTTTCAGATTGACGCTTGTGATAGGAAGACACAATCAGCTGAATCATTGGGTTGTTCAAAAAGTTCAGATGACTTAACGAATTAATTATTAAGGTATTCTATGTAGCTTATTGCCAAGGTATAATAGGTGACGCATTAGTAATATTATTATTTACATCCCATTATGTTAAATTACACTCACTTCCAAAGCTGAGTTAGATCAATCATTCTTTTGGATAAATTTAGTATACACAAGGCACCACTTGCCCTACACCACAGAAAACATACTACTATAACCCAGAATGCCAACCGCATGGTAAAAAGCGTTAAGTACTTTGAGAGAGCTTTGCCTGTCAGTTTGTAGGCAAAGCTCTCTCAAAGTACTTAACGCTTTTTACCACGCGGTTGGCATTCTGGGTTATAGTAGTATGTTTTCTGTGCCTACACTCACGATGCATTAAGTAAGTTACTAACCATAAAATACCTTAGGCCTACTAATGAGTGCCTCTGCGCAGTGGTGGTGAATAGGAAGGACATTAGGGGTAGGGGATACATCTATAAGTTGATGTAATGTTTACTCCATAAGACAACCTCATGCCTTTTTTGTGGATTCCCCCCTTACCACATATATGGTCAATCGCTGCCTCTGCTTCTGCCTATACAAGTAAAACACTGGAGACAAATCATCCATATATGGAAGTAAGATTGAGTAGGGAGTTTAACAGATTTTACTCACCTTAAAAATTTCGCCCAAGGTGAAATACTGCTGCCAGGCGCTCTTATCTGGGGGCTGAACCTCCAGAGACCGGCGAGTAAGGTAGATGGCATCATCCAAGTACTGCAGGTTAAACATGACTCGCGCTAGGTTCAACAACACCTGTAACCAACCAACAGTTAGGCTAAGTATCAACATTACCCTCTGTTGCTTCAAACAGTATCTTTCTTGATAAGAGTCAATAGAGATTAGCTTTGGGTGAACAGTAGACTCCCCTTCTTCACACATTTTGGAACTGGACTCTAGTTTTGACTAAGTAAGGTCTTAACCCTAGCAGTTTGGCCAATGTTAGAAATGGGAAATCGCCAACCCATTTTGGCGATTTTCAGACCTTTTTTTTTTAATTCGTTAAAATTCAACCGTACAAGTAAACCTAGCCAACCTCATATTCATTTTGTTCGGAAAGAACTGGAGAATCTAGAAATAGTAATATAATAATGATTTAGGCAGTGTGTTTTTTCGGTTAAGTGAAAAAAATAAAGAAAGTTAGATTTTTTTTTATTTCAAAAGCAGCCTCGATAATTTTTTTTCAATATTTTGTTCTGAATATCACTACCACAATGAAGATAAAATCAATGGCTATTGAGTGGTACCACCCGCAACATCCCAAGACGAAAATTACCCGAGCAGGGTAGGCTAATTCCCAAGAGTCAGCAGCAAAAGTCATGCCGCGCCAAAAATTCATTTGATTTCTAATCGTTGTGACATTTTATATAGGCTACATGCTACAGGGTTTGTTTAACTTATGTAATAAAATGAAAATTTAGAATGTGATCTTTCGTATGGTTTAACCCTCCGAGTGTTATTTGTCGATGCTTCGACACATAACACACTTTGTGTAGTGTTTTGTGTCGATGCATTGACTCACAAACACTGTTTTACGGCGAAGGCTCTATGACTGACAAAATCGGATTGAACTGGATTGAGTTAGGTATCATTTAATTTGGCAGATTCAGAGCTTTCTCCGGAGGTCTGTCTCTAAGCGCTTTTCATTTTAGTTTCGAAAATATTGTAGCAGACAGCTGACGTGCGTATTTGTAAACAGCTTGTGTTTTATTACGTTTATCATTGTTTTAGTGTTAAAAATCAAAAGTAGTGATATACGTGGTGCATTATAAGAAGATTTAAGTGATTTTGAAGGGCTGGTTGATGATCCTGAAGAAGTAGGTAGTGATATTGATGTAAATTATCAGCCAGATTCCTAGCTATGGTTAGGCTATGCATTCTTAGCTAAACGCTATGTACTGAAATCTGTTTCTTGCCCATAACTTAAATTTATTTGCAAATCTACTTCCTTATATTATTATATATTTGTAATCCTCACAAAATTTAGAACAAAGTGGCTATTTTTAAATATTTATAGGCCTATAATTTATACAATTTCATTGAGCGCAAACTTTTTTTTTTAATTTTCCAACATTTTTTTTTACCTAAAAAAATTTTTTTAAACAAATGTTCCTTAAATGGTTTGTGTATAATATTGAAGCCCATGATTTTCCAAACAAAATGGTATATAGAACAGTATAATTAACATTGTTTTCAAGCTTCTCAGATCCGTTTTAATAAAACCTTGCAAATGAGCAAAAAATAGGCAGACATTAAGGCCAAAACAAGGGACACTCGGAGGGTTAAATAGGCCTATTGTTCTCATCTGAGTTGATTATATTATAAGTGTTTTTAGCGAATTTCCCATATAGGGAATAAGCTATTACCGTAGTACTCATGGTAAGACCTGGACCCGGGACCGATTTTTTTTTCGTTTTGAGGTCCCTAGAGGCCAAAAACACCATCCGTTCAAATTCATATATATATATATTTATATATATATATTTATATATATATATATGTGTCCGTTAGCGCAATAACTCAAGCAAAAATGATCCGATTTTGATGAAATTTGGTACAAACGTGTAAACCTACGTTTATTCGAACGAGTTCGCGAACCAGTATGATCGGACTATGGGAACGGAGGTTTATGGGGGCTTTTATGGGGTAAAAATGGGGTTTTCCCATTTTTGACCCAAAAAACATAAAATTTTGCAATTTCTTTCCAAACAATTTTGTAGAGCTTAAAAAAACAAATAATTTAGTATATTGAAGCGTTATAATGCGCCTAATGGTTACGGAGAAAATTCCAAAAAATTTAAAATTGTCATGTTATCCTTATGGAGAATAGCCTAAGTAAACTGTTGTAGTTTGGTTGTTTATTAACATGTTTTGCCCAAATTTGGAAAATGTTTTTATTTCTTACTAACTATTAACATTTTACATAAAAAAGACACTTTTACCCTCCCTGTTGCAGCAAACCTAAGTGTGATAAACTGATTCTATTTAAATAGGGAATAAATGTAATATTTTTAAGGAGATATTTTAGTGTAAATCCAATCAGGCAAATGGAAATTCGCTTAGTCGGCAGGTTTGCTGCGGTGGGGGTATTTTACCTTTAAAATAATTTCCACCCATACCATCACGTCCGTATCACGTGATGGTGGCCATTCTAAGCATCAATGGCGAACCATCACCCCGTGAACGTTGGCCACTGCTAGGGTTAATCATCAGAAACTAACCGAAAAAATTGGTAGGCCTATGTTACAAAAGGACACATTATGTGTAGGCCTACTAGATGAGTAAACTACTGACACAATAAATGACTGCATCAATAGCAACAACGTATTGAAGTGATGCTAACTTAGCCAGAGGTGTAGTGGTTTAGTTAGCGTCTCCAAATTTGGTGCAGGAAGGAGGAGTTCAATTTCCAACATATACTTGCCACTTCCAATCTAGCTTGGGTGAGGAATTTGAAATCTGCTCAAAGATACCTGAGATTCAGGCTATACACTTTCACATTAAAAGATCTAGGCTAATAAGTTAGCTTAACTGTGGTTTGTAGGCTTCCTAGTTTTACCGTACCTACAAGAATATTTAATTAAACACTTAAGTTAGCTTAAGCCTACCTCGGCATTATGGGGTGACACAGCAAGTGCACGCCTAAAACACTCAATTGATTTGGTCGTGTCTCCCTTGATTCTGAAGAAGTTTCCAATCTGGTTATACAGCTGGACTGATTTTGGTTTCTCTCTCTTTGCCTTTTTCAGTCTCCTCTCCAATCCTTCAATGTCTAGTTCTGCGTTGCGCTTCTTGAAGATCAATGCTACCTGAGGTTCAGGAACATTTGGGTGGTTCATGCGATTTGCGATACCAACCAAATTGTCATAATATGTGAAGTTGACAGTTTTCCCACAATCCAATATCTCGTCGTCAATATCTGATTCTTGACGGTGTGATGTTTTATTAACCTCTGCGTCATATGGGTCAGACCTGAAAGTTAAAAAAAAAACTTTGTGATTAAGTCTGAAAGGCGTAAAATTCCCAACCAGATTTTTTAAGACTTAAAAATATAACTTAGGGAATAAAATAATAGCCTAGGCTAGTAGATTAAGTTAGAACTAGTTTCTGTTTTGTAGTTAACTTAGTCAAGCTTCATAAGAGCCTAAGTTAGATCCTAAGACAAGTTATCATTTTTTTTTTCAAAATTTGTCAGCCTTGGTCCTGCCCTGTCTGTAGGATAGGTCTAACTTATACTATCAAATCTAGGGCCTCTGTTCATTTCAAAACACTAACAAAAGGATTGCACTTAGCCTAGGCCTAGGTAAGTTAATTGATTAGCCTATGAATGTAAGTTAAGTTAACCCTAGCAGTGGCCAACCGTCGTCTGGTTACGGTATGAGGTTGATGCTTAGAATGGCCAAAGTCGTCTGGTTACGGTATGGGCCGAAATTTTTTTAACGGTAAAAAAAACACTTACAATCAACTCAGATTAGAATAATATATATACCATTCGAAAGATCACATTCTGAACTTTCATTTGATTACATAAACAAACCCTGTAGCAGGTATATAACAATGTCACGACGATTAGAAATCAAATGAAATTTTGGCGCGGTACGACTTTTGCAGCCGACACTTGGGAACTGGCAAAACACGTCTTGTTTGGCATTACCCTGCTCGGGTAATTTTCGTCTTGGGATGTTGCGGGTGATACCACTGGATAGCCATTGATTTTATCTTCATTGTGGTAGTGATATTTATAACTAAATATTGATTGCACAATCGGTACGATTTTATGAAAACAGCTGTTTTCGAAATTTCTAACAAATGGCCAACAGTCGTCTGGTGACAGTATGGAAAATACGAATTATATACAGTGAAAGTTATTATTACTAGTCATATAGTATATCATTTTGAAGAGGAAGAAATTTAGATTCAGAGAGTGGCAGCCCTGCACTCAGGGTTATTTCTGTATGCTCGCATGTAGACAGTGATGTAGACGACGGAAGTGAGTCATTACTGCCACAGTCTGTCAGCTGTCTTGTATTGCCATTGTTTGTTTGTGTTGTTGCCGTAATAGTTTTATCCGCGATTTATTACTAAATATGTTATTAGTTCGTAGTGTTAGTGTAAGTGAAGTGTTGTGTGTGTGTATAACAGTTATCTTCATGCATAAATATTACTGAATTGTGTGGAATAGTGTTCATAAAAGGTTGTATTTTGTTAGCATCATGTCCTAAAATGACGATTCTGACATTCAGAGATTGTTGTACCTATATAATGATATACCCAAGGTGTTATACATTTTTATAAAGGTAAATGAATACACTACAACATGTTTATAATGGTTCGGGGGTAAACAATTTTGTAAAAAAGTTATAGCCTATACTAAATAGGCCTACTACTGTAGGCTATTTTGTTAGCATCATGTCCAAAAATGACGATTCTGACATTCAGAGGGGTTATAATGATTTACCCAAGGTGTTATACATTTTTATAAAGGTAAATGAATACACTACAACATGTTTATATTGGTTTGGGTGTAAAAAATTTGGTAAAAAATTATATAGGCTACTAAATACTGTACACTCCATTTTCTCGAAATGCGCAAAAAATTCAAAACGTTCTCAAATTGATAGGCCTACATAATCATAGGTGAAAATAACTTTTTACCATCATACTTATGACTTTTTTGGATTCCTTACTTCATTGGCTTTACAAATATGTAGGCTACATATCATCAGCCTACATAATGTTTCACAACACAAGCAAACACTGTAGGCTATAGTTTACACTTATTTGCGGTTTTGCGGTTATTGTATTATTATGTCCCTATTACGTACCTACAAAAAAAATATTTCTAACATGTTATACATTTTTATGTTGGTAATTGAATACACTACAAGATTATTATGTTGGTTTGAAGTAAAAAAATTTGGTACAAAAGTTGTATACTAAGTACTGTGAATTTTGTTTTTCGAGAAATCGCTAAAATATATAAACATTATTTTATATACGTATGTTTATAGGTAAAAAATTATTTTTACCATAAACTTTATGACTTTTTTTGATTCCTTACTTCATTAGCTTTACAAACATGTATATATCATTATTAGTATACACATGTATTATAGAACTTTTTACAACATAAACTAACACTGTACGGTTCTCAATTTTTTCGGTTCTCCGTTTGTCATTATATTTCGCCCCAAAAACTTATAAAAAAAAAATATTTTCCTAACATGTTATATATTTCTATGTAGGGAATTAGATTTTCTACAAAATGTATATAATGAATTTCCCATAAAGAAATCCGTAGAAAAAAAATACCAAGGCCGCTTTTGAAATTTCAAAAAAAAAATTCAAATTTTTTTTATTTTTTTCACTTTATCGATAAAATACACTGTCTAAATCATTATGATATTACTATTTCAAGATTCTCCTGTTCTTTCCGAACAAAATGAATATGAGGTTGGCTAGGTTTACTTGTACGGTTGAATTTTTACGAATTTTCAAAAAAAGGTCTGCAAAATCGCCAAAATGGGTTGGCCATTCCCCACTTCTAACATTGGCCACTGCTAGGGTTAAATTATTCTGAGTTCTGTCATTTGTAAGGTTATTGAAATTATACTAGGTATACATTTATGAATCTTCTAGAATTCTGGGAAGTAAGCACCTAGGCCTAGGACCCATCAAAATTATATCTGGGTTTTTTCTGGGCTAGACTTACCTATTCGACGAGGAGTTTATTGACTGGCAATCCGTACAATAATTTTCGGAGCTTCTCTTGGTCCAACTCTTCCCGTAATGAACAGTAGATGTAATAATATTGAATATAGGATCGTCGTTGTCATCGTTTGGCAAAACAGAAGTAACAACACTAGGGAACTGGTTGACTTCTATTATTTTCCCGTCCTCAACATTCAATTTCCAAAATGTTGATGTTCGGGAATTTGTTTGAAGTATATGAAACGTCAAAATATAAAGCGCCATGTACGTAATACATGGCGATTCACTCATTTTTACGTTTAAATAACCACTTTAAATTTGGAAGAACACTGGAACATTGCACTATCACACTGACAAAATAGCAATCAATTTCCTCCTCTCCCTCTGACCCTCTCACCTCTCACCCCACTCAGCAACACAAGTCCACTTCCATTTCGACGGAAATTTTGAAGGGAGGGAATGGAATGGAAGAACGCTGACCCACCTCAATCCGATCCGAGACTGAAGAACTCAATCTACTCCAGTTCGGCTTAGAAACAAGTCTAGTCTACATCAATTAATTTGGGTCTGGACTCTGGGGGCCTCTGACACGACCATCTCGCCGAAGTAATGAATCAAATCCAAATCCTACTTTTTTTGGAACTGCAACTGTTACATTTGCGTTAAGTGTTGCTCTGGGGAACAGATTGGATGGAGCCGTTTCTGATAAATAGTTCCTCATTCCACCCTTCGACATTCGTTTGTTGTTCTAAGTTGTTGTTATACTGGTTTTGTTTTTCGAATCTCTTGTTTTGTTAACTTGTTCAGATAGTTTGTTATTTAAAGTTGTTATTTATCTTTTATGTCTTGTTATTGAAGTCTTGTTTTCCAGTTTTTTTCACTACTTTTGTACTGGCCTGTGATAATCCAAGACACTATGTTTTTCCTCTGCTTCTTCTTTCTGTAAGACCATTGTATTTTTCTTGTAAAAATGGTGCAACCGTTTATAAATAAATAAATTCGTGACTCGGGTCGGGACTCTGCATACTGCCCCCTTCCTGTGTCAGTGTCGTGAACTTGTGAAGTGTTTCTCTTTTACATGCGTTTTGCGTTGCGTTTACCATATTCTTGTTATTCGATATGTCGAACATGTCAGGCCTGTTATGAATTTTTGAATGAGGAAGCTCTAAAGCACAATACCGCCTCCCTCATAAGACTGGGGCGAAAATAAGTTAAGGAATCCCTGTAATATTTTGTGGCTACTCATGAGTTAGATTGTTGATGTTACCATAAATTAAAGAAATATGGGTTATTATGAACTTAAGCTCAACTCATATTTTTTTCAAACTTGGTTTAATTAGCTAAATTAGGCAATTCTAAGCACTCTTTTCATTTGTGACTTTTGAGGCAAACGCATTCACCCTGAAATTCACGTTTTAAGGTTACCTCAATTAATTGTAAGAACCGCTGAGTTTATATAGCTTAAGTTCATAAATACAGAATATGAATGAGAAATATAAGGGTTGCTGTCCTTGTGAGATCATCAAAATTGTAAAAAAATTACAGGATAGTTAACTGATGCTACAGCAGGTCTAGTTCATCCTTAACTCATGGTGAAAGGAAAAAACATAGGTGTGCTGCACGACCTTCTCACCGCAGTATTTCACCTTCCTTTTTTTTAGAACCTTTGGAACAGTTACACGGAACTGTTTGGGATAATGTTCAATGCAGCTGTGACAAAAAGTATAGAATAGGTTTGGTGAAACCGTTATATTACAAATAGCTCCGTTCCTTCTCAACTTGATTATTTTTCCTGCATAAAAATTTAATTATTATGATATACCTTTTTTGCTCCTCCTCATAATAATAACAAGTCTTTTATAGACATAACCTTTAAGTTAATTAACTGGTTTCGTTTTTTTAATTATTCTTACATTACATCATGAAAACCGGCTTATTCATAAAAGATAATGATATAGTAGCATACTAAGGAAAACTATCCAAAAAATTGCACAGTTTTGTTAAATTTGCTAACAATGAGAAAGGTTATAAGGTATAAGGTATTGTTGATGGAACAGGAGTCATAATGAAAAAGCGCACAAATTAAAATCAAAAGTTGTATTATTATATTTATAGTTATATTTATGGATACAGTATTGTGAAGTTCATAATTATAATAAATTTAACTTACCTTCTTCTGTTTCGAAATTCAGCTCCCCAACTATTATTTCAATGGCATGGGCTTCTTCCAGATGCTGGATCAAGTTTTCAAACCACGAAAATTGATGAGAGCAATCACCCTCTGGGCAAATAAGCCTTTTCGGGTTGTTTGAACAGTCAGATTGTTCACTACAACAACTATCATGCACATTACGCGTATGGCGCGTTAAATTAAATTTACTAGCAAAGTGTTTGTCACAAATTGAACATTCAAACTTTTTTATATTAATATCAGACATACTGATCCCGAACTCTTTAACTTGAAATTACACCATCGATTTAAGAGAAAGTTTCCTATCACTATACAAAATGGAGGTTGAAGACAGAGATCCACGAAAAACAAAATGAACACCTAAAAAGGAAATGGAATGGAACTCTTTGTTTGTAATGTAACGGTTTTAACAAATCTATTCCAAACAGTTCCATGTAACTGTTCCAAAAGTTCAAAAAAAAGGAAGGTGAAATACTGCGGTGAGAAGGTCGTTGTGCACCTATTCCCGTCTCTGACGTCACTCGGATTGCAAACAAAAGATCACTTGATTGTAACTGTCAAATTAGTATTTGTCAAGTTTTGATTTGATTGTTATTGTTTATTTATAAAAACACACATTATAAAAACAATAACAACCAAATCAATACCCCTGTCGCAGCAAACCTGCAGACTAAGCGAATTTCCATTTACCTGATTGGATTGGTACACTAAAATGTCTCCTTAAAAATATCACATTTATTCCCTATTTAAATAACATTAGTTTAATGAGTACTTAGGTTTTCTGCAACAGGGAGGGTAAAAAAGGTGTTTTTTTTTTGTAAAATGTAATAGTTTAGTATGAAATTAATGGATTTTCCAAATTTGATCAAAATATGTCCATAAACAAGCAAACTACAACAGTTTACTTATCTATACATATAAATTACCCCCGCCGCAGCAAACCTGCAGACTAAGCGAATTTCCATTTGCCTGATTAGATTTACACTAAAATGTCTCCTTAAAAATATCACATTTATTCCCTATTTAAATAGAATCAGTTTCACATACTTAGGTTTGCTGCAACAGGGAGGGTATCAAAGTGTTTTTTTATGTAAAATGTTAATAGTTAGTAAAGAAATAAAAACATTTTCCAAATTTGGGCAAAATACGTTAATAAACAAGCAAACTACAACAGTTTACTTATTCTCCGTAAGAATAACATGAGAATTTTAAATTTACAATTTGTTGGAATTTCCGTAACCATTAGGCGCATTATAACGCTTCAATATACTAAATTATTTGTTTTTTTTAAGCTCTACAAAATTGTTTGGAAAGAAATTGCAAAATTTTATGTTTTTGGGCAAAAAATGGGAAAACCCATTTTTACCCCATAAAAGCCCCCATAAACCCCCGTTCCCATGGTCCGATCATGCTGGTTCGCGAACTCGTTCGAATAAACGAAGGTTTACACGTTTGTACCAAATTTCATCAAAATCGGATCATTTTTGCTCGAGTTATCGCGCTAAAGACACATATAAATATATATGTATATATATGTATATATATGTATATATATGTATATATATGTATATATATATGTATATATATATATGAATTTGAACGGATGGTGTTTTTGGCCTCTAGGGACCTCAAAACGAAAAAAAAAAATCTGTCCCGGGTCCAGGTCTTACCATGAGAAATGGAATTAATGGATCTCAACAGCTGTTTCAAGTTGGTTCTGTTCTATGATGTTCAATAGCATTAAAGTTACAAGGATTACCAACAGGGTGCAGCACTATTATTTCTTTTAAATTTATGACAACAGCTAATTTGCAACCAAAAGGTGAGTGAGCGTAGCGAACGAACTTTAACCTGGATGCGAGTTAGCGTAGTGAACGAGCTAACCTGAAGGTAAGTGAGCGCAGCGAACGAGCTCCAACCTAAAGGTGAGTGAGCGTAGTGAACGAACTTCAACCAGGACGTGATTGAGCCATGCGAACGAGATCATCTTGAAAATTAAGAAGTTAAACGGGGCAAAGCCCGCGGGTTACAGATAGTTCTCCATAAGAATAACATGGGAAAATTAAATTTACAGATTTTTGGAATTTTCTCCGTAGCCATTAGGCGCATATTAATGCTTCAATATACTAAATTATTTTTTTAAGCTCTACAAAATGGTTTGGAAAGAAATTGTAAAATCTTTTGTTTTTAGGGTCAAAAATGGGAAAAACCTATTTTTATCCCATAATACCCCATATAAAACCCCCGTTCCCATTGTCCGATCATGCTGGTTCGCGGACTCGTTCGAGTTCGAATAAACGTAGGTTTACACGTTTGTACCAAATTTCATCAAAATCGGATGATTTTTGCTCGAGTTATCGCGCTAACGGCCACATATATAAATCTTCTAATATATAAAATTCTCGTGTCACAGTGTTTGTCTGCAAACTCCTCCGGAACGACTTCACCGATAGTTATGAAATTTGGTGTGTAAATTCTGTAGGTATGCGAATCGGACGTAAACAATTTCCCGTTTTGAAATTCTTAAAAGGGCTCCGCCCCAGTGGCTCTGGAGTTTCCCATGTTAACCTTATGAGGAATGGAATTAATGAATCTTAACAGCTGTTTCAATTAAACAAGTTGGTTCTGTTCTATGATGTTCAATAGCATTAAAGTTACAAGGATTACCAACAGGGTGCAGCACTATTATTTCTTTTACATTTATGACAACAGCTAATTTGCAACCAAAAGGTGAGTGAGCGTAGCGAGCGAACTTCAACCTGGAGGCGAGTGAGCGTAGCGAACGAACTTCAACCTGGAGGCGAGTGAGCGTAGCGAACGAGCTCCAACCTAAAGGCAAGTGAGCGCAGCGAACGAGCTCCAACCCAAAGGTGAGTGAGCGTAGCGAACGAACTTCAACCTGGAGGCGAGTGAGCGTAGCGAACGAACTTCAACCTGGAGGCGAGTTAGCGTAGCGAACGAGCTCCAACCTAAAGGCAAGTGAGCGCAGCGAACGAGCTCCAACCCAAAGGTGAGTGAGCGTAGCGAACGAACTTCAACCAGGACGTGATTGAGCGATGCGAACGAGATCATCTTGAAAATTAAACGTAACGGTACTTTCTTTCCATTGGTCTGTCTTAGGGGAAACCTATAACTTAAGCGATACGAAGTTCGCCGGGTCAGCTAGTATATATATATATATATA